CAGGGACTTCAGAGAGCAGCCCTGACCCTTTGTGCAGAACCACTTTTAAGCACATTAACCACATCCTGTTTTTGCAGAGCAAGCAACCAAAGACAAAACAATTTCCCCAAGAAATCGTCAGGGTCATGCCATTGATAACCATGTTATTCACAGGGTCATCCTGTTCTTCAGAAAGCTGACAGTGATCTATGAAAGAAGGCCTATGTGTGGGGAAGGGGCCATGAGACCATATCTAAAGGCCTGGCCTGGTGTCAAAACTGACAACTTCATCTGGGGCATAGTCCATGGCCTCAGTATTATTCAAAAATTCCCTCTCTCTAACAACACCATGTAGGATAAGAGAAGAATCTCACACCTTAGCATGAAAAAGTTAAAAATCAAATTTAAGAAGAAAAGTCTTAAAATCAGCCAGAGGTGTTTTATCTTCAAATAAGCAAACATCAGGTTTTCTGCTGCCCTCAGATAGGAATCAATGAAAGTCAAAAGATATTGCCATGCATCTTTTAAGTGATTCCTTAGCCAGCAAAAATATCTCTCAAAAATGCATATAAAATCAAGTATAATAATTTTAAACAAACAATGTGCAATGTAATTATTGCCAGTAGAATTGTTCTAAAATAAATAACTAAAGGGAGTCTTCTGGGCAGAAGGAAAAGATGAAAAAATAGTATAGTAGGAAGAAAGAAACAACATTCAAAAAAATAAATATGTGGGTAAATCTAGATGATATACTAGACTGTAAAAATAATATTTTACTGAAGATTGTAAGTATACATGAAGTCATGGCACAAAGCTGGGAGAAAAGTAAATGTAGCTAGAATGATGTAAGTAAACTTAATGCTCTAGTTAAAAGACAAATTTAGTTTATTGTTGGGAAAACAAAAGAAAACATAGCACCCAGCTGGTGTGGTTCAGTGGTTGAGTGTCAGTCTATGAACCAGGAGAACATGGTTCGATTCCCACTCAGGGCACATGCCTGGGTTGCGGGCTTATTCCCTAGAGGGATGTGCAGGAGGCAGCCAATCATTGATTTTCTGTCCCTCTCCTTTCCTTTTTGAAATCAATAAAATATATGTTAAAAAAAAAAAAAAAGCAAAAAGGAAACACATCATAAATATAAGAAAACAGATTTTGGAAAAATAAGGATGGACAAAAGTATACCATGCCAATGCTTATAGTGTAACAGTACTAATAGCCTATAAAATTAATGCTAAGACAGCAAGCACACTTAAAATCACGAGGGCTATTATGCTGATGAAAATGTTCACCCATTTCAAAACACTTAAAGCAAAAACAGAAAGAAGAAAGAAGAAATAATCAAATACACAATCATAGTGAAAGTAGAAAACACAACCTCCAGAAACTGGTAAAACTGATTGGACATAATAAGTCAGTCAGGGTCTCAAATTCTGATAGAGAAGATCTGAATGACACACTATCAAATTGTCCTGAACATCACTGAATCATTGAACACGTTCATGAAAGGTTTTGTCATGTGTACATGAAAGGTTTTCAGAATTGATCCATGGTATGTTACAAAGTAATTCTCAGCAAAATTCACAGACCTGATACCATGCAGACAATTCTAAAACCACAGTGAAATTAAGGTAGATATCAAGAAATCATTAATTGGAGACTATTCGAGCTGATCTCCCATGCCAAACTGGGCAGGCAAGGACTCACAACCCCTGCCCCTCCCCCCCCACCCCGCCCCATCCTGTGTAGGAGGCACTTAACAGATACACTGCTTACAGGAGACCTCCTCATGGGGGAGGGGCACTGGAAGGCACCTTTCTCCTTTATGACTCAGTTCTCAGTACTTTCCCACTCCTAGATCTTACCCCTTGCCATCCCAAGTGTGCCAGGGTCCTTTCTGGCTTGTCTGCTTCCCATTTGTTCATTTATTGATTCATTATCTTTTTCTCTTACACCTACTCCAGTGCTCACTGTCCATTTCCCTCTTAGATAACCAATCTTATGACTTTTATAGGTATTTTTATGTCAGTATTCTTGAAGAATTAGTAGTATTGGTTTGTGTTCATAATGTTTATGTAATTGTGTCTTTATGTACCTTGAATTTACTTTTTTTGGTTAATCCTCACTGAGGATATTTTTATTTTTATTTTATTTTTAGAGAGAGAGGGGGAGGTAAAGAGAAGCAGAGAAAGAGAGAAATACCAATGTGATAGAGACATATTGATTGGTTGCCTCCTGCACTCACCCCAATGGGGGCCAGGGATCGATTCTGCAACTTAAATATGTTCCCTTGACCTGGAATCAAGCCTGTGACCTTTCAGTGTGTAAGCTGATGTTCTAAACACTGATCCACACCAGCCAAGGCCCTTGAATTTACTTTTTCCTGTTAACATTGTCTTTTAAAAGATCTGTTCTTGTTTCTCTGTATATATCTAGTCTAGTTTCTAACTTTTGCATAGTATGATAGGAATGCCCATCTATTTTACCTACCCTTTCTTCCATCCTTATACTGCTTCTGATTCCTTGCTGCCAAATTTGCTGCAATGAACTTTTACCTTTATGTCCCTCCTGTTCCTAAGAAATTCTTTCAACTAGAACTTGAGGATGGACTTGCTGCATCTCAGGGCTTGCAAGCCCTCAATTTGTCCTCCAGAACAGAGGCACCAGTTCTCATCCCCACCAACTGTGCAGGAGGCCTCCTATGCCCTCATCTAGTTTATTTATTTATATTTTATTGATTTCAGAGATGAAAGGAGATGGAGATAAAAACATCAATGATGAAAGAGAATCATTGATCAGCTGCCTCCTGCACACCCTATACTCCACAACCCAGGCATGTGCCCTGAGTAGGAATTGAACTGTAATCTCCTGATTCATAGGTTGAGCCATGCTGGCCAGCACTTTGAATATTTCTTACCAGTTCCTTCTGGACTGCAAAGATTCTGTTAAAAAGTTAGCTGATAGTTTATGGGCTTTCCCATGTAGGTAACTAACTACTTTTTTTTTTTTTTTTTGCTGCTTTTAAGATTTTCTCTTTGCTTGTAACCTTTTGCATTTTAATTATGATGTTTCTTGGTATAGATCTCTTTAGGTTCATCTTGTTTGGGACTCTCTGTGCTTCCTACACTTATATGTCTATTTCTTTCACCAGATTTGGGAAATTTTCCATCATCATCATCATTTTTTTTTTTACACAGGTTTTCAATTTCTTGCTGTCTCTCTTCTCTTTCTGAAAGCCCCATGATGCAAATGTTGGTACATTTGAAGTTGTCTCAGAGACTCCTTATGCTATCTTTATTTTGGGGGGTTCTTTTTTCTTTTACTCTTCTAATTGGATGATTTTTGCTTCCTTATATTCCAAATTGCTGATTTGATTCTTGGCTTTTTCTACTCTACTGTTGATTCCCTGTAAATTATTCTTCATTTCAGTTAGTGTATCTTTCATTTCTGACTGGTTTTTTTTATGCTGTTGAGTTTCTCACTAAGTTCATTGAACATTCTTATAACAATTATTTTGAACTCTGTATATGGTAGCATATTTCTCTCCATATCACTTAGTTCTATTTCTGGAGATTTTTCCTATTCTTTCATTTGGTATCTATTTCTTTGTCTCTTTATTTTGGATGCTTTTCTGTGTTTGTTTCTATGCGTTAGGTAGAGCTACTATGCATCTCAGGCTTAATAGAATAGCCTCATGTTATAGGTGTCATGTAGGGTCCACTATCATAGTCTCCAATCACCAAAACTGGGCACTTGAAGTTCACCCCAGGTGTGGGCTGTATACACCCTCCTCTTGTAGTTGAGCCTTGATAGTTCTTGGCTCATCAATGGGAGGGATTTACCCCCAGGCTGATCAGCTATAAGGACTGCCTATGACCACCAATCTCCCCACACTGTCCAGGACCATCTGTGCAGGAGCCCACATCAAAGAGCAGGACTTATTTCATCAGAGTTCTGTTGTCTGCTGAATCTGCCTCTGGAGTGTATTGCTTCTGGAGGTGGCTGAGTGGTGGTGCTTAATGTAGTCTAATGCTTTCCACTGCATGCACTACTCTGGGGCCTCCTGAGAGGTACAGGCCAAGGTCAGGTGAAGGCACCCTGGGACCAGTGCTCATCTATCTACCTTTCTAGTAACTTGTTGGATACCAATTTTGGGTTTTCACAGAGAAACATCATTTCTGAGAGCCCAGGGTATACAGGAGCCCTACAGGATGGGCTGTGTTACCTGCTCTCTGGCAGAACAGTGGAGAGAGGTACTATGGGCCAGAGGTAGTCCAGAGGGCAGGCATTTAGGAAGCTAGGGTCATGGCACATGTGAGCAGGAAACCTTCGAGGAATTCTCACTCCAAGGGCAGAAGCAGGAAGAGTTTGCCTGGTCAGTGGCAGCAGGCTAGAGATGCCCTCCCTGAGGCAGGGTCACAAGTGCTAAATTACATCACAAAGTGGGACCTTTCTGCAGGGGCATGGACTCAGCAGGTGAAGAGAAACCAGAGATCAGGAGTAAAGGAGGCCACAGGCCAGGGTAGACCTGCAAGCTGAAAGTACCAGAGACTCAGGAGAACCACGATCTGGCACCTGGGGCAGAATCTGATTCCACAGGAGGAAGGAACAGCTGGCAGTGGGGTAGGTTGGAAGGCCCACTGAGCGCTGGAGTCAGGAACCCAGTCACATCTTAGAGGCCTGAGACACACAAGCAAGAGTGTATGGTGAGGCTCACAGAGTAGATGGTGGTACCTCTGGGCTAAGTGCTCTCCCTGGAACTGCAGACCACACCCAGGATAAGGAGGGCAGATGCTTGGAGTAGAGACTCCTCAGGGTTTCTTTTGGGTGGGTTTTCTTGGAGGACAGAGGTAGCCTACAGGTGACTCTGATGGCTCTGTCTTGAATCTAGCTGGGCTGATGTTATTGTGGTAAGTTCTTTGAACTATAGCAGCAGCAGCAGCAGCAGCGGTCACCCCATCTCATCTGCAGCTCCATCCCTGAGAGAACAAAGAGGCTCGCCTGTGCCCCTGGATGGAGAGACCATGACAAGATTCTGGAGGTCCTGTCTGTTCCTGCTCACCCTTGTGGTGGCCCTAGTGGCCAGCATAGACTCAGACAAGAATAAGGTCCAGGTGATAAGGAAACTAAAAGTTATTGATGCCTCTAATTACAACGTGAAGCAGTGTTTGTGGTTTGCCATGCAAGAGTACAACAAAGAGAGTGAGGATAAGTACATCTTCCAAGTGGTCAACATAATGCAAGTCCAGCTGCAGGTAAAGATGTTCTCTCTCAATATGCATATTTGTTTCTTGGGTAAAGACTGAAGCCAGTCTGAAAATTTGGGCATCTGAGAAAAACATTGATATATGAAAATCTTAAATATGTAAGTGCTCAAACATATATACTCTTGCACATTACTATAACATCAGTGCATTTTCTATATATGCTTGGACTGTCATTCTAAGTTCTTCACATATATTAACTCATTTAAACCCAAAACTACAAATCGAATGTTCATTATTTGTATTTGCCAAAGTTATTGAGAGACAAATTGAGTACCATGGATATTTTGCAATAATGCTGCCACGGGCCACATTTCAATCTATCCACATATTGTGTAATGTGGACTTGAAAAGAATCACAGGGCACACTATCTAATGTGGAGGCTAATAAGGTGCATCCTCCTCCATTCTTTAGTACTTTTAATCCAACATTTTAATGGAAGTGGAGACTATGATTTTCTGTTTATAGAAATGTATCCATCCTCACAGGACCATGAATTGCCCAAACCTAGAAAGTGTTGCTGACTTGGATGCTAGGGTGTGAGATGCTCCCTGGAGTTTCCAGCATGTGGCCTTGGCTTCCATGTCTGACAAAAGGCTCTGTGTTGGAATTCAGCCTCCATGGTTGGATGGTGGTATGGCTTATAATTGCACCATGCAATTTATGAGAATGAGTTGAAAATGGCAGGTCATTGTTAGCAGAGCTTACTTCAGGCTTTACATTCTTCAGACTGTCTCTTAGCAGGAGCTGGACCACTTTACATGTTGGTCCTTATGACTCCATCTCTTGGGAATATGAGAGCCAGGAGCACCCTATTTGCAGAATGCTATGTTGCTGCTGCTGCAGCATGCTTTACTTATTGGGCATATGTCACAATCCATCAGGAGGCACACTCTTGTGGTTTGCCATGCAAGAGTACAACAAAGAGAGTGAGGATAAGTACATCTTCCAAGTGGTCAACATAATGCAAGTCCAGCTGCAGGAAAGGTGTTCTCTCTCAATATGCATATTTGTTTCTGGGGTAACAAATCTATATATATAAAAGGCTAATATGCTAAGTGTCCAACTGTCCAACTGGTCTCTATGATACACATTGACCCAGGGGGCAGACACTCAATGCAGGAGCTGCTGTGATGCACACTGGTCATTTACAGAGAAACAGCTCCATGGACCTGGCTTCCCCCAAGTGGAACACAGGCCCCACCACCACCCCAGAGTGGCACACGACCAAATTGCAGCAAATGCTGCTGAGATCCCATGGTGCAAAATGCAGCCCATAGTCCACCCCAGCCTGGAAAAGGTGGCTGTGGGCACTGGGTAATGAGGTCACATAGCAATGCCCAGCTTCCTCTCCCTAGCAACTAGATTACTTGTAGTTTCTTCAGCCCAGGAACATGACTTGTTTTATAGCCAGGTGGAAACATTTTACATTTTAATCAAATGTCTGTGAAGCATTTTCATGTGTCTTATCTCATTTGATTCTCACAGAAGTCCTGGAGTAGGTAAACAGGAGACTCATTAGAATACTACTTTCTTTTCATTAGCCAGAAAAATGGAGGTTTAGAAAGCTTAGAAATTTGACCCGACTGAAAAGAAGTAAAAAATGATGAACCTTGAAAATGAATTCAGGTTTTTTCACTGTGCAGAATATAGTCAAACATTGCTGCAGTTAAATATTTTATCCTTTGTTCTCCCTGTGTGATCTACAATCACAATCTGCTTCGTGTTGATATTTACTGTTGTGCTACTGACAATTACCTGAAAGAGAAGTTGGGGTGTTTTACTGGGCTGGAAAAAGTTTAGCTAAATCAGAAAGCAGGTCTAATTAAGCAAGTTTATCTATATATATAAAGCTCTCACTGGTGCCAATTGCACTTGTGTGTTTCGATCTGTCATTGTCAATCCTAAATTTTGTTGACACCTCTATTATAGAGAAATGCAAACAGTGATATTAAAATATTTCTTCTAATTAATTTCCTTTTAATGTGCATGAATCCATGCACTGGGACACTAGTTTTGAAATAAAGAAATAGCTACTAGGTCTTGTAACTATCCTAGTTTCCCTAACAGTTTTTTTTTTCTTTGGTACCCCCAGAAACATACACATTTAGCAAGTTTCTCCCAAGTCACTTCTATGCTAGCCATTGTAGGTGGGGCTGTGAGATGGACAGAAATGATCGCAGCCCTTGGGGAGCCAGCAGTCCAATTAGAAAGAAAAAATGCTCAACCATGAACGAGGAGCCGTGATGTTTGTTTCAGTGGCATGGAACATAGACAAGGTCTGGTTGTCAGGGGAAGACCTTTTCAGACAGCATTTCTCACCTAAGGAGCTTGTAAATATCCTACTGGACCCCATAAATTAAATGAGGGTCTTTAGGGGGGACCCTGGCCTCAGTAGGTATTAAAACCCTCCAGGAGGTGATTCCTATATGCAGACAAGGCTGAGTACCACTTTTCTAGGTCATCCCAAGGTCAGACTAGGAGTGAAATAGGTGAAGTAAGTGGGTGGGAAGTGTTTTAGTTTGGGTTTCCCAGAAGCAGACTCTTGTGCTAAAATTCAAGTGCAGATATTTGGGAGGCCATCCCAGGAAGCACCAGGAGGCCAGAAGGGGGAGTGTGAGGGGTCAGGGAGGAGGCATCATGTGGGAGAAATTACTGAGCAGGTTACCACCTTGGGCAGCTGGGCTCAGTCTATCTGGGGAATCAGGGAGAGGGCATAGAGCCTGGTTCAAAATGGAGCCACCTTGTAGGTGAGGAGCTGGGTTACTTACCCACCAACTCTTTTTTTTTTTTTTTTTTGTAATATATTTTATTGATTTTTACAGAGAGGAAGGGATAGGGAGAAAGAGTTAGAAACATTGATGGAGAGAAACATCAATCAGCTGCCTCCTGCACACCTCCTACTGGGGATGTGCCCACAACCAATGTTCATGCCCTTAACCGGAATCGAATTTGGGACCCTTGAGTCTGCAGGCTGACAACCCACCCACTGAGCCAAACCGGTTAAGGCATTTACCCACCAACTCTTATCTGGCATTGTCCAAGAGCTATTCTGGGAGTCCTTGCTCTTGTTGGCAGCAGGAAACCCCAGCCTGCAGCCCCAGGACCTAGTAGAGTGCTTAGGAACAGCATGGGACATGGGGCACCATTCATAGCATCTGCCACAGAAGAAAGGCAGGGAGGTTTACGGTGCAAGGGGGTGGGGAAGAGCAATTAGGCATAGTAGGTTGCCAGTGGGAAGAAGCAAGGCCCATTTGGCAACTCAGTAGCCAGTGTGACTGACCAGGAAATAAACAGGGACCACCAGGCCTGCCCTTGCAGGCTATGGGCAAGACTTCGACTATATTTTAGGAGCATTGGAAAGCCAGACAGACATGTGGTCTGGAGGATCCATGTTATTAGATTTGGGTTTTAAAACTGTCATTCTAGGTACCTTATATTTAGAAAGAAGTTATGCAGATTCAATCAAGGTGTCTATGTAACTGGATGGCCCCCAGCTTTCCCACATTTCAGGTTCACATTCCCAGGAATCACACATAGCAATCTTCTGCCTTTCTTGGCTGGACAAGATGAATGGGTAGAAGCAAGATGGTGGTTAAGGATGCCAGTCCTCATGCTAGGACACCTTGTTTGAACCCTGGGTTGGCTGATGGTTAGATGGATAGTTAATTAGTTCCTCTGTGCCTCAGTTTCCTTACCTGAAAAAATGGGAGTGATAGTGATGTACGTTAACTGAGTTATTTTAGAACATAAATGATGAGAGAGAATCTTTGATTAGCTGCCTCCTATACACCCTCTACTGGGGATCGACCCTGAAACCTGGGCATGTGCCCTGACCAAATCATGACTGGTTTATGGGTTGAGGCTCAACCACTGAGCACACTGGACAGGCTGAGTTATTGAGTGCAAAGCCTGGGAGTAGTACATGATAGAAAGTGAGAGTGGTGAGGGTCAGCAGGCATTGTGACTAACAGGAAGTCCAGGTTCATGGCCACAGTATTTTTGAGGTTCTCTAAATACAAACTTAATTTCCAAACTCAAGGTGTACCTCTGCTGGTCACTTCTTGGATGTCTAACCAGCTTCTCCCCAGTAGGCTAGAGTCTCCTTTGTTAATTCTTTGGAACACAACCAAAATTTAATACAAATTTGTCAAGGTTCAGAAATGGCAATGAGGAAATGTACTAGAAAAAGTGGAGTCAAGGGAGGCTGGAACCAAGGCATAGCTACCCCTTTTTGTGGCTTGCTGTGATGTTTTATAATCCTATCAAAGCAGATTTCAATGAACACCTTCACCTTCACTGCTCTCAATCATTAATGGATTCAGTAACTACTGATGCCTTACTACAAATCTACACACCTTGCTAAACACTCAACAGAAAACAGAAAGACAAACTCCCTTGGCATACCTCCTTAAGGACTGTTTGCTGAGGTGGTGGGAGAGGCCTTGAGTAGAAAAAAAGGGCAGGAGATTTAACCAGATGACAGAATCTGAGGGGGGTGTGTGTGAGATAAGAATTGAGTGGGCGGGGGGATGTCCAATGTGGCTAAAGTGTCTGCCTCCCATCTGGCCACATGAATATGAAACATCTTGGGTCCAGAGGAGCTGCTGGTTCTGGTGACTTCAGTTTTATCCCCTGACCCATCACTGAGCATGCAGCACACATTGGACTTTGGGGCAGAATATGGAATTAGAAGGCCTTGCCTTCCAGGAGGCCCCACACTGGAAAGAAGACTCTTCCTTGAGTATCCTGCTCCACGTAGGCCACATAACTGGTACCAATGTGCAAAGGAATCCAGGCAGTGGGCATCACTAAAGAAAGACTGGCTAACAGATAGGTAGGGTGAAAGTGAGAGTAATTTTTTAGTGTTCGCTAAAACTTTTTAAAGGTAAAAATACAACTTTTTAAATAAAATCGCATAATTGTTAAAATTGCTAATTGACAGGTCACAGACCGTTTGGAGTACTTTATTGATGTTGAAATTGCCCGCAGCAACTGCAAAAAGCTTTCAAACAGTAATGAAAACTGTGTCACTCAGGAAAACTCCAAACTGGCAAAGGTAAGTGATAAACCAACTGTCTGTGATGGTCTTGGCTACTCTAAGCCCCAGACCGTAGAACTTGAGGTGTCCAAACTCTCTGAGGTCAGGATCACTCCCAATAGTCAGCCCCAGAAGTGGTCAACTCTGTGGCTTTTAGAGTGGAGAACTTAGGTCTGCAGAATGTGGTAGTCTTCTCTGAGACTTTCCCACCCCTCATCTTAGGGACAGCATGCTATCCACGTCACTCTTATTGCAAGGGCTCCATCAATGCTGGCCTCTTGGGACTGGAAAACTTGCCAAGGCATATTTACTGCAAATCTGCTCTCTTGGATCTGGGGGAGCAGTCAGCTGTGGCTGCCCCCACAGTTACTCACCCTTGTGAAGACACAAGAGGAAATTTGTTCATTCACTCATCTACTCATTGAAGCTTACTTACACCAGTGCTATTCTGTGTGTTGGTGACTAAGCAGTGACTAGGCCACACAGTGTCCCCATCCCAGACTTATAGATGGTTCTTGCTAGGCTCAACCATAGTTTCAATGAAGGCCCAATGACTCTCCCCAAAGAGTTGGGTTGGCCCAGGGGCCTTTCGCTTCAAGCCTATATTTTTAATTTCAGAGGTGGAGGGAGCCCTGGATTTATTCAAGTGCTTAGTCTGAGGTTTGTGGAGGCCCCTGAGTTGTGCCTACGAGGGGTGTCTTTGTCTCTTTCTTTATATCAATGATTCTCCTCATGAGTGGGCATCAGAATTACTGGAAGGCCTTGATCAACCCACATCCCACCTGCAGAATTTCTGATTCATTGATCTGGAATGGGATCCAAAAATTTGCATTCTTGACAAGTTCCCAGGTGATACTGCTTCTGGCCTTGAGTATAGGAGCTTAGCTTACAAAGGACTGATCACCAAGGACACTCCACCATGCCTGGAACTGCCTGAGCAAGTTTGATCATTTCCAGTTATCAATAGATAGTCATCAGGGCACACATTTAAGCTGTGAGCATATCTTAATGCCATCTGATCTTTTGTGCTAGTTTTATTTTTTAATCTTTTAGTAAAATTATGGTCGGTTTAAATATATATATATATTTTATACTGGACTGATTGGAGTTATAGTGAACATTGTTGCTTTTTACCTATTTATTTAGAACATATTTAAAAAAATTAAGGAGAATTTTCCTCTAGGAGCTTACTTATTGTATCTAACATTTCCATGAACAATCTCAGTTCTAATGTTTTTAAGCACACATTTATCAACACTGAAAACTTTCTTTCCAAATCTTTGGAATAATGTGGAAGAATAATAATGCCAAACAATTGTTCTTATTCCCGCTTTAATGGGAATGTTTTCAGTATTTATAGTCTTTTATTGAATATTACATAAGTGCTACTTTCTGAAGTCTCTCCAATTCTCTTTATGAAGTGTTATTTTAAAAATTAAGAATATTTTCTTCTATAAATTATTCTTTCAGCATCTACCAAGGATAGTGAATTCTTTTTCTTCTTTGAACTATTAGTGTAGTAAACTGAAATAATAGATTCCCTCATATTATTTTTATATGTCTGGACTATGGTACACTTATCTTTTTTGTGTAGTTTTGTAACTTTATTTTATTATTAGTTCTCATCCTCCTTGACTGACAATAGGTTTTTGAAAATGGTGACAGGCCCATAGATCTCCAGTATATATAAATTTTCTGGATAACCACATACAGATATAGTATGGGGCATACTGTATGGGGCATTTCTTATTCCTTTGACTCCGGACATCTTTGCTGAGCCTGGAATTGATAGGCACATCTGGCAGTTCTAGTTTTCACTGCAAATTTGCAGCTCTTTCTCTGAGTGTTGGGGAGGGGGAGGGCGTGCACCTCTTGAAGGTCACTGCACAGATGTGCTTGTGAACATTGATGGTGTATTCTAAGTCACCACCACGTTGATGGCAGACAGCTTCTCCTTCCTTCATCCTTTCTTTGTTGTAGCCCTCCTGCCAGCCCCAGGTTAGAAAGAAAGAGTGCAACAGATTGTGTCTGCACTCCCTGTTAGAATGCAGTGGGGTTCTATTTGCCACTTCTTTATTTAGGACTTTTGATTTTATATAAGTATTCTCAGACTTCCCTACTATGAAGAACCTTTGGAGGATGAGGTGAAAACACAGACACACATGCACACACTGATACACACATAGGCCAGTTCCTTTGCTTTATCCTAAACCTATGGAATCAGAATTTCCAGGTACAGACACCCTACATATACTTTATATCACTGGGAAAGGCTCAGAAGCACTGCATTAGAGTTGTAAAACTTGGCAGCCTCTATCTAGCAGTAATTGTTTAAAAACCCTGTCTGTTGATTTTAGAGAGATAGAAAGGGGTTGGGGTGGGGAGAATGAGAGACCCATACACTTGGATGTGAGAGAAAAACAATGGATCTGCTGCCTCCTGTGCATCCTTGGAATTGAACCTAAACCTTTCCATATACAGGATGATGCTCCAACCAACTGAGCCACCCGGCCAGGGGACTGGTATTTTTTTTTTTTTTTTTAAGGATTTTTGTTGTATTTACTAGGACAAACATTTAAGCAGTAAGAACGTCAATGCCATTTTTGAAGTTCCTTGATGATACTTGCTGCTGCAGGCCTGGGACCAGCCATTTGGCTTATGATTTGGTCTAGGGGTTTTTCTTGTCTGGTATAATAAGAGTGGAGGCTTTCCATCTATTTCTGTGTTTTGAATCCATCTGTTTCTATGTTTAAAAGCAAAGGGAGCTTTTGGTTGCCAAGGTCTGATATAATTCCCCTGCAAAGCCATCTTGATCAGGTATTGTCTGTGGGCCTGTGGGGCAAGAAGCTCCATTGTCCTCCTCTGTATGTGTCTGGTACTCCATTCTCTCTGACTCCATTTGCCTCAGAGCTCCTGAAAGTCCCTCCTTGTTGCAGTCAATTATTTAAGATGCCCTTTGCTGTTTTCCAGGACTTCTATCTGTCTGTCTATCTATCTATCTATCTATCTATCTATCTATCTATCTATCTGTCTATATCTATCATCTATCTATTATCTATCTATCAATCAACTATCAATCATCTACTTATCTATCATCTATATAATTATCTATCTATCTAGCTATCTATCATCTAATTGTCTATCTATAGTTATCCATGTATGCATTCATCTATCTACACACTCATGCATCCCTCAACCCATTTATCCATCCTTCCCCCTATTCAGCCCTTTATCCATTCATCCATCTATCATACACAGATAGAATATTTTATTTCAAAAGCATTTTTAAATCATGTTTATTAATTTTAATACTAAACAAGAGAGAAGGGCTCTATAAAATAAAAGTCAGGTTAGGCCCTAGTACCTTCTAAATTGCTCTTATTCTCACTTATTTGTTATCAGAACAAAAGGCATTATTTAATTATTAATATAAATTGGTTCATATCTGGGATATTGTTGTTTTATTTACATTGTAGAATATATTACAGAAAATTGAAAATAAAATGACATTTACATCTGATGGTCAGTATTTGCTATCTAATGGTTGGTGTGGGAACAGAGAGTCCTCTGGGGCCATCAGCATTTGCTGCTCACTATGAGGACTGCAGCATCCAGCTAGCAGGTTCCTGGGAGCATTTCTTGATAGATGACAGCCATCTTCCAGCATGTGTCTAAGCTGGTACCTGTGGCGCACTACTGATTGTTTGTGGTGATGGTCTTTTCCAGAAACGAACATGCAGCTTTATAATTGGCGCGCTCCCCTGGAATGCCGAGTTCGCCGTGATGAAGATGCAGTGTGAGGACCTTTAGGGGCTTCTGGAGCGAGCCCCGCTGTCTCCACCTTGCTCTGTGACCAGAACTGGTAGAAACATGCTTTCCTCATGCACACGTCTCTGCTTGCTGTTTTATTTTCCAGTTTCATAGTATGTGGTAACGGAAGATGGGCATGTCCATTTCCTCCTTCCTGGTCGCAGTGGGGACCCTTGCCTTTGGCCAACTTGATGGTCCACCACCAGGAATATGCTTATCACTGGGTACAAAGGACGGAGTGAGGTCTGATTCTAACTCCTCTGTAAGTGTGAGAAGGAATCAGTTTTGATTGGGTAACAGCACCTTACAGAGTTAAGAACCCTATAATTCCACATGCTCCTTTTGGAAGCCTCTTTTGTCTGGGGCTACTTTAGAACTTGAAATTTTTATCGAAGTAATTATATTTATTTATAGATAGAGCATTACAGAAATAATTAGTGACATTCCTGAGTAATCTCATTCCTCAGGCACAAGCTTATGGGTGGTCTCCAGATTTTCTCTTACTTGAGCTTAATAACACTTTATCTTTACTCTTAACAAGTCAAAATCTTGCTCTGCTTAGTATTTTACAACTTGCTTATCACATTTATATAGAGGACACAGCTTTCCTTGTCAGTACATGCACATATTTTTGTTACTTTTTAAAAATCTCATTTCACGGACGTTATATATCTTATTTAATAGTCTACTTTGATACATATTTTTGGCTAATTTCCTTTACTGTTAAAATTTTCTGTGACAGTAAATAATTTTTCAGGCAGTCTTGTACACATGGACAAATGTTTCTGTGGGATGCAATCCTAGAGGCGGCACATCGTGCAAAGGAACGTGTAGCTTTTAACTGCTCAACAGAGACTGCTGAGTCGTTGTGAACAAAGACTGTTGGATTCCCACTCTGCCAACGTTGATGAAAGAACCTTATTTAGAAGGCCTTGCCATTATATTTCATTTTCCCCCCAATATATAGGAGAATAGTGACATTTTATTGTTGGGTTAATTAAAATTTTTTAAAAATATATTTTATTGATATTTTACAGAGAGGAGGAAGGGAGAGAGATAGTTAGAAATGTTGATGACAGAGAAACATCGACCAGCTGCCTCTTGCACACCCCCTACCAGGGATGTGCCCGCAACCAATGTACATGCCCTTGACCGGAATCGAACCTGGGACCTTTCAGTCCGCAGACCGACGCTCTACCACTGAGCCAAACCGGTTTCGGCTTAATTTGAATTTTTATTGTTGAGGAGGTTACTACTAGTAAGCATATATTTTACATGTGTATTAGATACATTTATATTTTTTTGTGATTTTTGTATTTGTATCTTTTATGCAAGTTACCTATTGGATTTTTGTAATAGCTGTTTGATATTATGAAAATTAAAGTTTTCTGTGTCAGATTTGTCAGATTCATACCACTTGTCTCACTTCACACCCAACAGGATGAATATAAAAAAAGATAGATAATGCTCTGGCCAGTGTGGCTCAGTTGGTTGGGTGTTATCCCATATACTGAGGGGTTGCTAGTTTGGTTCCTGCTCAGCCCACATGCTCAGATTTGGGGCTTGATCCCCAGTGTGGGTGTGAAGGAGATGGGCAATCAACGTTCTCTTTCTCTCTTTCTCTCTCTCTCTCTCTCTCTCTCTCTCTCTCTCTCTCTCTCTCCCTCTTTATAAAAAAAGACATAATAATCAATGTTGTCAAGGAGGTAAAGAAATTTGAATCCTTATACATGGCTGATGGGAATATAAAACAGTAGAGCCACTTTGGAAAACCATCTAATAGTTCTTCAAAAAGTTAAACTTAGAATCATAGAATTACCATGTAAGCCAATAACTCCACTTTAAGAGAAATAATATTACCTCAAGAGAAGTGAAAACATATGACTACACAAAAGCTTAAACATGAATGCTCATAGGAGTATTATTCATAATAGCCACAAAGTGGAAACAATCCAAATGTCTGCCAATTGATAAATGGATCAATTAAATATGTAATATAAACAATGAAATAGTACTCAGCAATAAAAGGAAATTAAGTAGCAATGATTGCTACAACATGGATGAACCTTGAAAAATGTCAGCATGGTTGATGCCAGCTGACATCTTCCAGATGTATTTCGAGTAATAGCTTCTGCCAGCTGTGGGCCCGCAGCTCCTTAGCCCAGGTTCCACCCAGGACCGTTCCTCCCCAGGCCTCTCAGTCCCAGACCCCCTGAGACTGGCTGGCTGATACCTCTTCCTGACTCTAAGACCATGAAATCAGCTAACAGGACCCTGAAATAAATGGCTGTGAAGGTGCTTTCTGTTCCAAATGGTTTAGTCTAAAGCCCAGAAATGTAGGTCAGGAGGCATAGAACAAGATTGAAGACTTCTGCACAGTGAGCGGGAGGGCGGGTGGGTGAGGCATGCTGATGGCTGTTGGTGAGCCTGTGAACTGAGGGGTGAGGGACCCTGTCAGAGGTGTTGCTCACTTGAGCTACATCAGAGGGGCTGGGTTTACCTCACAAAAGGGCCATAGCTGTGACCACCTGGCTTGGGGAGTGTATCCAGAGGAGAGGCAGCCCTGAGCTACAGTCCCACTGACACCCTGACCAGGCACAGACATGAACTGAGCGTGCTGGGAACCCAGGGTGCCACAAGGCGGGAGCTGGTCAGAGCTCAAGTCCCCAGGAAGGAGAAAGTTACGCCCGTGGGTCTGGGCATTCAGCTCCAGGCTCAGCAAGCAGGAAACTGGTGGAGGACTTGGTTCTGAGGTGGGTCTGGGGTAAAGCGGTACTGGGTGCGAGAGGACAGGAATGCCAGGGTGGCCTCCAGGCATGCCCTAGGCTCATGGTCGGCAAACTGCGGCTCAGGAGCCACATACAGCTCTTTGGCCCCTTGAGTGTGGCTCTTCCACAAAATACCATGGCCAGGGCAAGTCTACTTTGGAGAAGTGGCATTAGAAGTTTAAGTTAAAAAAATTTGACTCTCAAAAAAAATTTCAATTGTTGAACTGTTGATGTTTGGCTCTGTGGACTAATGAGTTTGCCGACTACTGCCCTAGGCCACTTATTTCAGAGTCACAGAGCAGAACAGGCCAAAGTTTGCTGCTCAAATGGCACGTGTTACCAAATCAGTGTAAACCATTGACCAAGAAGCAAGGCAATGAGAAGGAGCAGGCTGAAATGCTTAGGATATGAGGCTTGTGGGGCAGACATGGAGCCTGGGCCGGCCATGTTCTCTGTGGCATCAGCCTCCTCCGGGCGAGTCTGCCTTGCCCTCACATAACTGGGCACACTGTATGGCCTTCCACACAGCCCAGAATTCTGTTTACATTTTCTGGGCGAGGATACGTGGGTCCAGAGTGGGCAGCAAATGAAGACTCTGAGTATCATGTGCTGCGTGTAACGCATGTGTGCCACCAATATTCAACTTAGGCATAAGGTACTTGTCACTTTTCTCTAATGAACACAACTAAATTCTACCTGTTAAACTGCTTAGTCATCGTCTACTCTTAATCGTTTGCCTGTCTCACCAACTACAATTATTATATGATGAACAAGCAAAGAAACTGCAAGTTTTATCTTGTACTGGAGGTCTGGTGCACAAAATTAGTGCATGGGAGAGTCCCTCAGCCCTTTTGCAATTCAGGACCACTGGCTCCTAACCACTCGCCTGCCTGCCTGCCTGATTGCCCCTAACCACTCTGCCTGATCGCCCTTAACCACCTCTGCCTTGGCCCCTGCCACTGTGGCTTCATCCGGAAGGATGTCCAGAATGATGTCTGGAAAGTTGTTCAGTTGTCCGGTCTAATTAGCATATTACACCTTTATTATTATAGATAGTCATACTGAATCTCCTCAGAATCAATGCACATTACAAGCTGTGACCTGTACACACACATGTGTTAGATTGATTGGATCCAAAGGTTCATGTCAGGGCAAGCAGCCAAGTCAAGCTCTCACCCTGTCAAGTGGCCAAGGCATTGGCTTGGCTTCTTTGTGAGTCTCATTGTCCTCAGTGTAAAAGGCCCCTCGGGAATGGCAATGGTTACCTGGGATAAAACATGTACCATTCTTATTGCAGGGTTTGGCAATACTCACTGATACTCAATAAATAGATCCCAGGGTGATGATTAATGAGCCCGACTGGAAAGAGGGGAGACGCAGGACACAGTTTTGAGGTGCTCCTGGGAAGGAAACAATAAGAGAAGTTTGGGGACCTGTCTTCTCCCCGTGGCAGCACATCTGCTGTAAGTCCTCGTGGCTATCTGTGCACATAGATTTCACACAGTGAGGCCCCTTCACTGGACACACAGGGACCTTGCAGATAAGGCAGCTGAGGGGACCTTGCAGATAAGGCAGCTGAGGTTATCTGGCATGGAAGAAAGATGTAGTGTGTGTGTGTGTGTGTGTGTGTGTGTGTGTGTGTGTGTGTGTGCGCGCGCGCGGGCCTATGTTTCCATGTGTGAGTGCATGTATGACTCCTTCCAGAAAAAAAAGAGCTAAAAAGGGAAAATGGACAGATTGTGATTACAAATTCCTCCCATGGCTTCTGCCTGGGGAAGAAGAGAGAGAGAACCCACAAAAGGTAGTGTTTTCAGAGATTCTTTCCTTTTCATCCCAGTAGCCTCAAGAGCTTGGGTCTGGTCCAACCCTGGAAGGACAGAGGAAACTGGCCTGAACTCCCTTGGCTGAGGTGCCATGGCCAGACTCTCCCCAAGCCTACTGTTCCTGGTGGCCATTATGGTTCTTGTATCCAGAGATATGCGCACCTGGGGCTGGAAGAAGGTGGTGAGGGAATTCAAAGACATCCCAGAAACCTATGTCTATGTGCAGCAGGCACTGTGGTTTGCCATGAAGGAGTATAACAAGGCCAGCGAAGATAAGTACGCTTTCAAGGTGGTGAAAGTGCTGAAGTCCCAGGAGCAGGTTGGTGGGCATTTGCTCCTCAGTTCTCTGCATGTCTGTGGTCGTGGTGGGGCCATTATGTATGAATGAAAAGTGGCTCAGAGATGCCTT